CTGTGCGAGAATTTTGCACATTAACCTTGCATTTTACGGTTCATCGGCTTAGACCTGTGCCTAGTTTCTGCACTGGCGTCCACAGTAGCAGACGAGATTCGTTTTCGACGTGGAGCTTTGTTGAGCACAGTTGCTTCCTCGGCCGCATTTGCCATTCCTTCGATATATTTCTTGAACTTTTCCGTCGATTCGGCGCACAAATCCAAGTTGTTCGCCATAGCAATCTATGAAATAGCTATTTCAGAAAGATACAACTTGGATAGTTAATTCAAAATATATTTCACATGACGTGAGGCGCAAGGGAAGAATGGAGTTCTGAAGAACTCGAAGACTATAATGAGCTACTGGCGAAATGAGGCCGTGATTTTTTAGTGTGCACTCAGAAACGTTGATCCACCATTGTTTTGGTATATTCCAGTGTGTGTTCTCTCTGATCGAGCCCTTTGTTTCGCAGTTCGATAATGAAATCTGTAACTACAACAGGTAAATACTGAATCTTTAAACACATTAAGTAGAAAAAGTGGGACGAATCATATCATCTTACTGCCTCTTCTCTCACATCGTAACAACTGAGCAAACGAACTCCCTTTTAATGAATGCGAACAAAGGTCACTTGCCTTCCACGTGTGAAATTAGTCTTATATATTCATGCAAGCACTCGTTCAGCACACGTGGTACAATTTCATCGGAAATTTCACGGGCCAGAGTCATCTGAATGAATTCACTCAACGAGATAGACTGTAGTGTGCTCAGGGCACAGCAAACGCATATGAGAATCGCGACAGCAAACTCGGTCATGTTCAGCAACGGTGCAAGGTTAAACGAGATGGTTATGAATATGCTCGTGCCTGCTGCTGCACTCTCATGTGAGTTTGAAGCCACAAAATATGGCCAAAGTTTACTGCGGGCATGCCACTGCCTGTGTGTAATAGGCTCACCTGGTCATTGATGATCGAGTAGAGAATATGCGCCAAATGCGTGTAATAAAACCCGCACTCGCCCTCGACTATATTTCCTTTCAGTTCTTTAATATCCGCGAACTAAAGTCAAGCAAATCACCGCAATAAGCAAAAAATAGTTCAGTCAGTATAATGCTTTTCTAGAACGACTAAGGCAAAGCTACCTCTTGCTTGATCGTCTTTAACGCCCACTCTGCCGTCTCCTGTTTTATGATTCCAACAAATCTGAAACTTATCCAAAAGTATTTTACGCACAAATGCTACCGTATATACTTTTACAACAAGACGTATGTTTTCCGAGAAACACCGTGTTGCTAAACAAGCTTTCGTCATGCCCTTTGAACACAGATACCTATAACCTCAAGACTATGCACTCACTTTTTATGCGTTTTGTGCTGTGTAACAGCACAAAACGCATATTGTCATGGGGTTGCCTGTGTGTGTTTGTGTGCGTGTGTGTCCCACATTTTGCCCCGCACTTTCAACTCGGGAACCACACAAGCTAGACGGCTGAAATTTTGGTATAGTGTTCCCTGCCAACGGGTGACGCTGCAAATTTAAATTTAGCCTTCCCGTACCCGCGGGTAACTCGTACGGCCCCGTAAAATTTTTTTACAAAGGTAAATCAATATCTCAGGAATCACGAAGTCCAGGTGGCTGAAATTTTAGAGCAATGACCCCCTGCCCACACTCAAACTTGCTCACTCAAATTCTGCGTTCCCGCGCTCCCGGGTATTACCTACGGGCTTGTGAAAGTTTTTACGGGTAAATTATTATCTCGGGAACCACGGGGTCTAGAAAGCTGAAATTTTGAGGTAGTAAC